CCTAAAAAAGACACATCGATTCCTAGGAACAACGTTTTTTTTTTCTCGGTAAATACAGACAAGAGAGAAATGTCAGAGTGCAGTGAATAAACTTCACTCGTCAATAACTCCATAATGGCAGAGTGAAATTCCCTGATTTTTTTTCACTCTCGATTAATTTTTTAAAGATTCAAATTGATACTTGATTCATTCACATCGTTCCATCCCATCGGGAGATATTGTCGATTGGAGACAATTTTTTATGGTCACTGAAGGAGGCAAACCATTCATCTAAATCTCGCAATAATCTGTGAAAAATCTTATTCATTAATCTATTATTATTGAATTTATTCCATTATGTGTAGATCGCTGGAGAACAACGAAAACGTTCCAACCGTTCAAACGAATTGGAATGTTTTTTTCTCTCCTTCTTCTCCATTTTCTTTCTCACTCGCAATCGTTAAGTTTGGCGGAGGACGGGCGCGTCCCAACGCGACAGAGACGACAATGAGTGGGAGCGAGCACGATACATATTCCTTTCTCACTCAGGGGGGGAATACCGACATTAGTATACCCGCCTGTTTTACCAACAAAAGTGTACTCGCATTTAGTTCATGCGCCACCACTACGAAAAAATCCAGTCGAAACGTTTACATTGCCGTGGTAGATCTCCCCTATAATCTCTGGGTCTGGCATCTGTTACTTAGAGGCCGCCATCTCTCGGTTCGACGCGACATTCCAATAACAACCAGAATCTCTAGATACCACGCTGTCACTTTAGACATTAACCCCTCCATCACTCTTTATCTAGACTCCCGGCGTCAACGATGTTGCCGTCCCATGACCGCTATGTCATGGCGGCAAACTGCCATCACGGTATTGGCTGAATAATCATAAAATTCTTATCGTCACCATTTGAATGCTTTTTGTCCGATTTAATTAATTTTTGCGGCATTCAAATCGTAATTTTTTACTCTTCATACCCTCAAAGTTTATAAGGTACATGCTGACGTCACCCTGCATATATATATATATGATTGATGGGCCATGTAATGAGTGGTATCTTGTGAATGGGAAATCGCAATCGAAAGATACCCCTGACAATTATAAGACAAAACTATGGAGATTATATATTCAGATCCACTTCATTGATAATCAACCGCGTGAAATTGTGATGATAAATTATGCAATCGCATCTGAGAACTATATAAAATATTATGTTCATATTAATCTAATGATTAATTTCATCAACAATGGGACTGAAGATGCAGACACTAAGTGCCGAGCGCGCGGAGCGCGCTTTATAATGCTAGTATTGTATATATTATCCTATCCCTATTAGTTATGGTTGCACCAACCCCTGTTAGGCGGATTCAACAGCCTGTTAGACTAACAGACTGTTAAAATTTATCTATCCAGTAAATTTATTGGGTTGCACCAAAAATTTTACTGGTCCAGTATCTCCCCAGNGTTGATTGGTGGGGATAGGGTAACGGAATGACCTATCGTCGCCGAGATATCCAGACTAGGAGGCAAGGCCCTAGTAAGATTCCGAGTTAGTCGCACGCGAGCGCTTGAACCGAGAGGTTGAAATAATCTCTCGGTGTGCTGGAAGTGGTGGATGGCTGAAGAAGCCATGGTAAGGAGTTTACTCAGCGTAGCCTGGTGCATAACTGTGGCGGCGAATATAGGGGGATGCCCCTGCATCCCCCGCGCGTAAATCTGAGTTATTTCGGAACGCGAGGTGACGACTTCGTCGTGTTCGGCGTCATCTAGTCTCGGCGGAACGATTCGAGGCGTATGGGCCCGTGGGCCTGGAGTCGAGGAATCCTCCTGTCGGTCCGACCATACGCCGACGGTCTAGTACTACCCGGAGGCAGTGACGCGCGATGACCGAAGCGGTAACGGCGTGGGTAACGTAGTTCCACCCTGGTCAGATCAGCCTCTCCACGTCCCAGGCTCTGAGGAGTCCCGGCTGAATCGCAAGTAGCTCGGAAACTCTCCCGAGTAGAAATACTTGGAGAGAGGAAGCATGCCGGAGGAGTCGAGAGACCCTCCGGAGGAAAGATGAATCCCATTCAGTAGGGAACTTGTGCCGCGAGGCATAATCCACGGTTTGCAAAGGCCGTGGAATGTGACGGTATCACGCTGATGTTAGCTAGGCAACCCATTGTCCAGCCAAAAAGTCCTCTGAGTGGACGAGTTTGCCTCAGAGGCCGGTTTTCGTCGAACCTCCCGTGAAAGTTCGGCTGGCGCCCGACTATTGAGCGATAGAGACGGCTAAAAAGTAGTTTGGATTTTTCCTGGGTGAACAACCCGGGAAAATATCCTTACAAATTATTATCCATAAAAAATGATCGTAGGGGACCCAGGGTAAAGTGAAACGCCGGGCAAAATGAAACGATAGCAAAAACCGAATGTATAGCGGAATTCAGATGATTTGTTTTTTTTCGTATCAACTAAGGGAAGGAGAGCGGTAAAATGGTTTATCAGGGTCACCCAGTTTACCAGAGTCCAAAGCTCTTATTTCGCAAGGGTCGAACCGTCGGGTAGAATCAAATAGTTATATGGGTCAAACATTAGAGTCGCCTGAAAGGATCACAAGGGCCATACAGGAGGGTGAAGGAAGAAAATCTTTTCCGTTTGGACCTTCTAACTGTTTCACTGTTTGACGGGATCTATAACCGTTTTGTTACACTGTTTCGTGTAAAAAATTTAGGAAATAATCAACAAATTCATATTTTTATCGTTTTCCATAAATCCTTCAGCAACAATCAATTTTCCACCCTAAAAATCCTTTATTCGTAATCGTAACGGATTTGTCTCTATTTCGAATTTTGCACGGAGAGAAATTCGCTAAAAAAATTCTAGTACTGGCACTGGAAAAAGGGCTCAAAGTGACGGCCANCCCTCCCTCTGAATGTCTTTCGTAATAAATGAACAGCCCCGCACTGGTTTAAATCCCGATTTTCCACCATTTTTTCACTAAAAAATCCAAACGGCCATTAAATTGAGAAAAAAATACGCTTCCGAATCGAATCGAATTTCCTCGGAATTCCTTGCAGGTTTTAATGATTTTCAAATGCATCGTGAAGGTGGAGCTACTTCAATAGACAATCTTTATGATTGAAAATCTCAGAATTTATAGTTTTCAAAAATTTTCAAAAGATCTGCAGAATAACAATTACGAGGTACTTTTTCGAAATTCGACTTCTAAATAACCAATTTCATTCTTTTCCGAATAAAAAATTGCAATATTCAAGCAAAACAGGCCGGAGAATGAATACTTCTAAATTTTTTTCTCAAATCCAAAATACTATAATTATTTTCAGGATTATTTTCCTGGCTATTTTTCAGTAATATTGATTGTTTAAATTTAAAAAGTCACGGAATTGACTATTTAGGAGTTGAATTTGAAACAAGTACCTCGTAATTGTTGTTCTACACATATTTGAAAAAATTTTGAGAAAAAAAGACCTTCGTAGCTCTGAAATTGAGTACACTGGATTATTTTTTTTAGATTTCAAGGGCCTGGGGGGCAAACATACAATAAACAATCTTTTTTTGCACTCATTCTACGTTTTTCAAGATATATAATCGGTCTTCAATTTACGATAAATATCACTGCAATATTCCGTGACTTTTAAAACTCATAGTAACCTCTCCTTAAATGAAAAACAGTTTGTGGTCCATTTTACCCACACGGTCCGTTTTACCCCTCTATCCCCCTACCAAAAAAAATAACGAAGGGTCGAACAGTTTTGAGAAACAGTGGAAGAAATCAAATGGCTGCAACTTTCTCAGGGTCTTATAGCAGAAACAAGTAGAGTGATCTCTGCCCCTTTCTCTCCTGCTCGACTCTTCTGATTACTGTACTTGTCTCTCCCACTGGACCTTTAAGAACTTTCGATCTTCCTGATCACTCTCTCATTTGACCCTCAAAACTATTTGACCCTTAAGAATGAAATTGGCTCCCGTTTCACTTCCCTCCGCGTTTCATTCTACCCTTCGTTTTACTTTGCCGGGTCATTTCACTTCGCCCCACTCGCCCCTAATTTTCAAATATTACAATTTTCTAATTATTTTATCAATGAGCAGATCTACGTCAAAACGCAAGGCCAAAAAGTCAATCTTACGGATTTTCTCGCCGACTTTTTTCCTTGGTTGGTCTCTATGCGAACATTAAAAAAAAAATCACCCAAAATTATTGAAAATTGAGGAAGTTATGATTTTTTGAAAATTTTTCGTTTTTTCCGATGCATATTTTCAGGTGATTTTTCTTTTCAAGTTTTCAGCAATATCTAATTTGGGTTTGGAGGTATCAAATCGCGGTTTTGCACATAAAATATACATAGAAAAACCTCGAAAATGAGCGGTCATTCGATGTATCCCATTGTTATTTAAGGGTTTTATGCTACAAAACGTGTTTTTTATTCAATCACAATTATCTCAAAAACCTCATTTTTTTTAAATCTGAAATTTCCACCAAAAATCATTAAGATTTTCACGTAAGATGATGAAAATTTTGACGGCAATTGAAGTTATTACTTCGCAGTGGTTGACTACATTTTGATGGGTGAAATAACCATGTTGCTGGAAATCTGAGGAAAATGTGACCTAATTTTCCTTAAATCAAGATGTGGGTGCTGATGATCTCTGTGTCGATTTTTTTCCTCAAAGTAGATCTTCAGACCAACATTTTGAAAAAAAAATCATTGGAAAATAACGATAATTAAGGGAGTTATGATTTTTTAAAAATTATTTTCTTTTTTATAATCAATGAGTTTATAGATGATTTTCGAATTATCGTCGAATTATCTTAGGAATGAGTGGATTTTCAGAAAAATACTGGCGAATAACAAGCTTTCGTTATAATTCTATCTACTACCATGCGATTTTATGATTTTACCAAGAGTCATAAGATGGGAGGGACAGTGGATAAAGACATTCAGTTTGTTTCTTGCTGAAAATAATGATGACAAATCTCTGAAGTGAATTCTTTTATTATTCTCCTTATTAATAATCAAAATATAAATTTCAAGTGCTTTTCATGAGTTGAAAATTAAGGAATTTATGGGAGATGGCATTTTCGACAGAAAGAAGGAGATATTTTTCTGTCGCTGTAGAATTCACTGATTTCTCCTTCAATTGATCGATCATTTCATTGAAACACTGGACTTCATTTATCTCTTTATTGGAATTTCTCTTCAAGTTTCCCGCAGTTTCAAATTTTTTCTGGACAGCTTCAATAATCAAGTTATACGTGTCCTTCAAACATTGCTAAAATTTGAAAAGATGGAACAATTAACTATTGAAAACATCATTAAATGAGACGGTTTCAGCTATATTTTTATATGTAACTAGGGGGCTTCGCCCCCTGCTCACTTCGCTCGAGAACCCCGGGGGAGCTTCGCCTCCCCGCCCGCTTCGCTCGCTCCCCTCCTTTCTGGTGTGACTGTGCGGACATGACAGCGGGGATTCATTCAAGTCTATTATGCGCCCCTCTCTTTTTCATCATATTTTTTTTTCAATTATTTCGATTTCAACTTACGTCCTCCCATGAACATTTTTTTGTGTCAAATGTTGATTTTGCGTCGATAACGAATGTTGTCACTCGAACCACTCAAAGTTTCTGTTCATTTAGATTATTTACCTCCCCCGAAGGGGAAGGGGATCAGGCTCCATCCAACGCCTGTCCAGTGGGGTACAACCACTCAATGTTTTCCATCCATTCATATGTGGAAACTCCATATATATTAGATATGAGATTTTAACAAATATTTAATATATATGGATGAATTTATATTCGTATGGATGGAAAATATGATTATTTACCCCACCTTACCTGCAAAAGAAAAAATATTAAAGCAAACATTTTATTTTATATTAACGGAATGATAATTATATAGAAATTGTTACCTTTTCGATTTTTCATTTTTACTACTTACGAAATGGTTGAATCTACTTTCCTCTGGTTTGTCTGTAATTTTCTAAAGTGATGACTATAGGTTTTTACTGATAATTTGATTGAGTATTTTTACAATTATTTTAAATGCATAGATGAATTAGAATTTGATCGTCGATGTAAATAAATAAAACGCCTGTGCCTGCGGCTGATAATTTATATGTATGAGTTCTCCATAATTGACGTGATTGAGAACTCATGCATTGGGGATTCCGTTTGATGGGTCGGTGATCGTTTGTAAGTAGTTCATTGTCTAATGACTGGAAATCAATCAATGTCCTTGATTTTTTTGTCTACAATAATTTGCGTCCCCTCATAAATGTGCCATTCGTAGGGTGTGGGTTCACCAACGCCTATTCTCCACCAATGTGCAGTCTATTCTCCATCCAATGTTCATAACAAGTGGGTAGTTTTATACATTTTTTAAGCCTCATCTCTAGATGTTCTTCTTCTTTTCCTCCGTGATTCCCCACCCGTTCTGGAGTTTTTCCTCTTCCCCCTATGACTTTCCTTATTTCTTCGACGGGTACGGCATTCTCGCTTCAAATTTTCGGAATTTTTATTTCCATGATTATTTTCTCCATAATTCATATTATTGAGGATGGGTTGAATTTGAACCCGACAAAATCTATGACATATTATTCTTGAAATATTTTTATGTGTATAAAGCTGTAATCTATCTAATCTCGTGTGATATCAACCTTTTAGTATCGTCTTCCATTGTACATAATTCCACTCCATCAATGATTTCATCCACGATACCTCTCATGCAACCTCCATTGGAACCTTTCATATTGTCTTCCCATTGTTTCATATGATTGGAGAGCATTTGGTCCAAGCCATCATTAAGTAGTTTTTTTTTTAATTTTTTGATATGAGTATTACAGAGTGCAAAAATAATAATGATTGTAGTGAACATCTTACTGCATGCCAAGTCATCAGTTTCCATTTCCATCGATCCAGTTGTTTCATTCTCCATTTGTACTAAGTCACGTCTCCTGCAAAATTTCATAAATATGGAAAAATTATCCATGTAAATTTGAATATAGATGAATAGATAATAATATCCACATCCTTTTCTTTAAGATGTCTTTACGATATATTCTCTTTTTGACCCTTTCAACCATTGCCTATAGGGGAGTATGACAAGAATGCTTCCTCCGGCCAACCTCCCGGTTTTTTCGCGGGGTTCGATTCGAGGTTCCATACTCTTTCCTATTGCAGAATACCTCTTTATAAACGATGTTGGGTATACACTTCTTTCCCTCTGTGCTAGTCTCTCCAGCAATTTTGATTCTCAATCCTGACATTGATTTGCATCTTGAGAGGGCCACATATAACTGTCCATGGCTAAATATTGGTGATTTGGGATTAATATAGAGCCCGACATAATTGAAAGACTGCCCTTGAGATTTATTGATGTCATGGCAAAAGCCATGATGAAGAATGTGATGTACGATGAAGAATGAACGGGAGTTCTGTATTATCCTTCGTACTCAGAGTAATTTTTGGAATTATGGCGGTATCACCAATTTTATCTCCTGTGAGTATAGTGAAATAAAGGACATACCTAGTCACGTTCCGTACAATTAAACGAGTACCATTGCAGAGACCATTCGCTATGTATATATTTCGTATTAACATAACGACGACGCCAATTTTTAATTTTAGAATAAATGGAGGTAATCCTGGGATGTTCAAGTTATTTAAATACTCCGGTTGAAAGCGCAGCATTACATCATCTCCATCTACTGCATCACTATCACTTGATGTTGCTATATCATATCCAATAGATTCTATGAGTTCTCCAGGGAATGGTTTCAGTACTTGATCATTCAACATTCTAACTTGTTCATTTAAAGGGGCTAAAAGAAGACAGTGAGCTATATTATCTTCACTGAAATCTGTCCTATGTACACTCTGTACTATATCTTCACAGAGCATGTTTTCAGGAATCAATTTAATTTTTCAATTCCTTCTTCAATTTTTCCGTTACCAATATCGAGAAGCCATTGGCTGAAAGTTTGAAAATCGGCACACATGTTGACTTTGAGGGTAAAATGTTTCATCAAATTCCAAAAATGCAGTTTGGTTATCGATGCGTGAACAATCTGTTTCCTTCCAGCACGTTTGATAATGGGGAGAACTTGCCTGAAATCGCCTCCAAATAGGAAACGTTTCCCACCGAAAGGTACTTCTGATTTTATCAGGTCTCTGAGAGTAACATCAATCATTTTCAGAACAATACTGGGAATCATAGAAGCTTCATCCCAGATAATTACGTCAGCTTCTATCAGATTGATTTTTCCGCGTTTCGTGAGATAAATTGTAGAGATATTTTCATAATTTTCTGGTAAATGTATTGGTAATTTGAAGAATCGATGAGCTGTTCGCCCGTTTGGTAGTAAAATAGCTGCTATTCCTGTCCATGCTACAGATACAACATTCTTCGATAAAATCCACCAATGATGGTACAAGCACTTATATAAGAATGTTTTACCGATTCTTCCAGGTCCATCAACGAAGAACAATGATTCTGTGTTGTCGTTCATATGTGATACTACACTTTGAAAAACTTTCAGTTGATCATTGTTTAACTGTAATTTCATATTTTCTGTCATTGATAAATGTTCATTAGTGGTCTGATGATCATCGAATTCATTGAATGATGGATTTATATCTTGTTCCTCAAAACCATATGCTACCAATGATTTGTCTTCACTATTCAACAATCTTTCAATATCCATCAATGCTTCACGCTCAGTACATTTATCGCATAAAAAGTCTTTATATTTTTTCCATAGATCTATCACATCAATATTGTCACACGTTAGCAGTAGATAAGCGAAAAAACTTCGAAGATACTGCGGCATCATTGTTGCACAACATTTATCCAACATATCTTCAATATGCTTGGGACTGGTAATGAAACCTAATTCGTATGCAGCTTCATGGAATGATTCACAAATATTCCCATTCACACTTTTCAAAGCCTCAAAAGATGTGACGCCAGGTCTATGGTGCAATAACATTTTCAAAAAGAAACGTTCGACATCTTTTGGCGATATAGAATACATTCGAGTCACAACCCTATTAGTCTCTCGTTTACACTTCTGCCAACAATGATTAGTTTGATTCCGCATATAATGTAATGGAATTTCTGCATATTTATATTGATGTGCCGATTGATCATTTCGATTCAATTAAAAAAAAGCAGTCAATTTAGTGATATGTTGATTTGAATTGATTGCTGTTTCCTCATTACCCTCTTCAAATCGAATGTATTGATGTCCAGGTAGATGAACTGGTAGTCTAACAACCATGTGACTCATTCCATGCGTCGGTAATTGCAATAATCGCTAAGCAGCCTCCATTGAACTAACCCAACGAATGTGAACATATTCATCAATTTCATTCTTCATCAAGCCGTTTGTTTTGCATTGTACTCGGATGCGATCATGTAGTTTATTGATGTATTTATAGAGGTACTTTATAGCCATAATGGACCCACAATACTCTACATTAATGTGATAATTGTATTTGGCAAGCAAATATGGTTTATATGGTACGACCTTCGAATTATCTATACAAACAAATTTTTTATTCACTTGGCAAGGATATATATAACATTTTTTCCGATTATCCGATCGTTTATATAACGGAAATCCATCAGTTTCGATTTTAGTTTCTGAAATGAATTGTTTTGGGAATTGTTTAGAACATTTGCCCTCTTCGTCATTCCAACATGGAGTTCGAGCACTATGCGGGCCGTGCAACATGTGCTTCATCACCAATTCGTGCAACGTAGGATTTTCTTCTTGGTCAGGGATTTCAGCACAGTTGAATCGATCAATGATTTCTGGTGTTAACATTTTATCTTTTTTAGATAATATGAGTATGCAATGAGCATGTGGTAACCCCCGTTTTTGAAATTCAATGGTAAATGTGTATCCCAGAACATCACCAAAAACTGCACCAGACACAATTTCATTGATCAATGTTGTCGCTTTGACAAAAAAAATGCGGTCAACAATATGTGGAATATCTGAAACAGATCGACCCCTTGACTCTGATCGTAGGAAAGATTCAATTTCATTCCATTTAGGATTGGCTGTGAAAGTAATGAATAAATCTGGTCGTCCCACTGTTCTTGAGATAGCCATTGCGTCTTGATAATGTTGAAATTTCGCTCTATGTCCGCCATCAAATGATGAAGGAAGTATAATCGGCCTGGCCCAGCCGTACATGATCTGAAGTATTTGCCACGCTTCGTTCTACATGATCCATTAAACCTTGCAAAGTTTCTCGTCGGAATTGTTGGGGATTTGAACGATAATAATTTAATCGATTCCATTCATTGACGATGTACCCATGAATAATATATTGCTGAGTTAATTTTCCTGCCATAGTAAAAGGATTGAAAGCGTTATTTCTATGAATTCTCAGTTGCCATCCAAAGTACTGAACTGCTGTCACCCGACGATTACTTTTCTTGGATAAATTCTTCATATGGATCGAATATCCACTTTGTCCTTTAGGAAACAATAACGGGAACATCATAGGCTCTCCATGCTGCGATAATTTATGCATTGTTTGGCATTGGATTGAATTTTTTGGATAAACTCGAAACTCAACATTCTCTGGTATATTTCCTTCTTTCCCAGATACTAAAACTGCTCCAACTTCACTTCTTTCGCCGAGGCCAGAAGGCAAATCATATCTCTTTTGATAATTTTTCAGAGGCGATGATTGCAGAAAACAAATGATCGATTCTCGACGTGAGTTTTTTCTATACCGCTCAAATAAATTTTTGTATAACTTCACATATTCGTTGGTAGACATTATTTTGTTGATCATGTTTAAAAGCCTTCAATTTCCAGTTTCGAACTGCCTCAATTTTAGAGCTTCGTTAGGTTCACATAAATAAATTTGGGCATTTCTAGGGGCAACTTCATCGTTTGGGATAAGACTCGTTGTAACCCATGCGTTAACATTTCCACCAACTTTCATACTCCCGACTCCATGATGATTTACTTCTTCTTTAGGACAGAATGAGGCCATAGCGAAAACATTATTGTAGAATCGAATGAATCTACGAAAATGAATTCCTAATTTATTTGGAAAAACTGGTGAATCCTCCAAGGCAATGATGTCGTTGACAATAACTATGTGAAACACGACCCTTCTCCAATTTGAATGATAATGCTCCACAATATTTACATTCCCAATCTAACGCTCCCGTATTGAAGATTTTTGTACCTTCTGACCAATTTCCACCGCGATATTTATTCTTATTATATTTTTTCTTTCGATTCCTCTTCTCACGCTGATTTTTATTATGCGTATAATATTTCCGATTCTTCCTCTCTACTACTTCTGTATTCTTATCTCTTTTAAGTTGTTCATTATTTTGTTTACATTCTACTTTTCTTCTTTTTTTTTTCTCGGGCAAATATCATCCCCAGAGGATGACATACGCTCATTCAAAGATTCTTCTGAAAGACTTCTCTCACGTTTTCTTTTCCCTCTCATGGAAGCTTGATTAAGACTTCTCTCCCGATTACGTATATAGTAATTGTGATTTTGCCGTGAAGTCTTCATTCTTCTCCGCTGATATTCTTTCCGAAGATCTTTCATCTCAGAGTCATGATCTGAATTTTCAGAATCAGAAAAAAATGAGCGTACCACTTTTTTCTCCATTGCTCCTACAGGGTGTCCCATAGTATGTGACAAAAGTAAATTGCGTTGTATACGGCAAGGTGACAGCGCAGTCTAAAGTCTAATATATGGTTGAAGTGGAGACTCTCCGCAAATTTCATCCATCCTTCAGTCGCTCGCGAATTAGAATACTAAAATGGAAAACCTAACCATTGAACAAAAAACATTCCTCATCAAATCATATTACGGAAGAGGAGATTCAACTACTGCAGCAATAAGAGCATTTCATTCTAAGTATGGCACACACACTGGAGTGTCTGATTCGAGTCTCAGACGGTAAATAGAGTGAATGAACTAGATAACCAAA